GATCAATATTTTTATCAGATCAATATGTCCGTAAAAACCTCTTATCCAACTTCCATATTCAAATCTTATCTTTTTTTAACATAAGGGTATTTTCGTAATTTTACCATACATGAGTATTTTCATAATTTCTCATCCAAGTACCTTTAATATTTAACCTTTGATGAAATAAATTATACGTTACAAATCCAGGTTGATTTCTTTATCACTAAGCACAGACTTGTAGTTTAATTCTAACAATCCCTCAATTTCTTATAAAAGTCATGTGAACCATAATCAATTATTGAACCTTTTTACCGTATTCAGATCGAGTGTAGAAATTAATTAACTACACAAATGAAACTAACATTATCTTAATCATGCATTTACCAATATTCACATATTCCATAAAGCATAAAGAGGTAGTAAAGTATTACTTCGATTTCTGTGTAATACTGATCGACCATTAAATTCTATTCGAACACCCTCAATCTTAAAATCATCTTCCAATATTTCCCCGGATCCATACCAACATAAATCACATCAAAAACGAAGCTTAATTCTGAAAAATAGATCGAATCGGATGATAAATCAGTGAAAAACAGCTTACCGGGTTCGAATTTGGAGAAACGGACTTCGGATTTGGATTCGGATTCAGGACGTCGAAAGCATAAAATATGACTTTTCAAAAATTTAGAATTTTCGGTCAAAATCAAAGTCAACGGGTTGACTGGCAATTTCGAGGCCTTGGGGTCCGAATTTCGAAAAACGGACTACGGAATCGGATTTGGAACGTCGAAAAACGTTAGGATAGATATACTCAGTCAAAGTCAAAGGTCGTTTAATGCCCGGTCAAAGCCAGTCAAAGTTTTGGTCAACTGTGGTCAACGCCTATCAACGGTCAACAGTCGACCATTTTTCACAAATATCACCCTATCAGAAATTAATTACCAAATTAGCCACATTGTGTAAATATTTACTAAACTAACACCCGAATTATCACCCAGACGATGCCCACTCTCGGGGGTGGCGCGTGCGGCGCGTGAACAGTGCTATGGTGTCGGAAAATTCCCGAAAAATTTCCTAAAAATTATTTTAAGCGATTTCAAGGCACATACAAAGATCGGTTCACAATTTTGAACGGCGGAGAGCTCGACTCTGAAACGTCAGAAACTTTGACGGTCTCACCCCTCCACGCGCCGGAGACGACGGAGAACATCGGTGGACTCGGAACGATGCAAGGAACACGATGGTGTGGGAGGTTTCGTTAAAGAATCATCGAATCGTTGTGAATCGATGAAAAACCAACATAAATCGAGTTATTACCGACGATACTTCCGACTGAAATTAACGACGAACGGCGATGATTCACGACAAAAGGTTTGAGGGGTTTTGTTCCTCGGTTGACAACAAACACGATGGTAGTTTCAGTTCGTCGATCGGAGGTCGGACGGTGAGTAGATCGGAGTTGGAAGGAGGGTTGAGGGGAAGAGAAAACTGATGCTTTTCTGCAGAAAAACATACGGGAATGGGTGTTATAATTCATCCCAAAAGAAAAATGGTCAAATCATGAATTTAGCCACTGAATTTCTTGCACTTCTTAAAACGGTCTGTTAACTTTGAAATCTTATAATTTAATCCTCAATTTTCTTCCAAGATACCAATTAAATCCAATACTTTATAATTTCTTAAATTTTAGCCCCTAAATTAGGGTGTTACATTTCTAGACTTATCTCAGTTATCCACTTAATTCTAGGTCATTGAGGGTACTTAGGTCATTTAGTATTCAAGTTTATCCTGATCATTTCAGAGTTTCCAGAGTAATTCGACCGTTTCAACAATTTGAATACGTACAATACTTCCATTTAGTTCAACTTTGTTATAAAATAAAGTCATTTTGAGTAATTCAGACGTGTAAAGTACTTTCGATAATTTAGTATTCGGGTGTTCACTAAGGAATTAGTAATTCTAGGTCATTTTCCCATTTTGAGGATATTTCAATCATTTCATTTAATTTCGACATATATGTTACTTCTGGCAAATTAGTCTTTAAGAGTTTACTCAAGAATCATAATTCTAAGTCTTTTACCATATCAAAGGTTATGATCGATTAACAGGGTTATTTTAACTTTCAAGGAAAATCCTTGTATTTTACCTCACACGGGTATTTTCATAGTTTCTTATCCAAGTATTTTCGACATTTAACCTTTAACGAGATTAATTAGAATTTACGAGTCCTGGGATTAATTGATTTACTGATTAAATCACTGAACTTAGATTTATCTCTTATCGATCTTCTTGTTCCTTACATGAGTCAATTGAGTCTTATTGGGTTTACTGTCTTTGTACCATATTCAATTTGAGACCATCAATAATTAACTATATGTAATTGACCAATAACTCCAATCACGCATTAACAAATCACTAATATGTACCATAAAGCATGCATAAGGTAGTACAATATTACCTCAATTTTAGAACCCCATCGGTCGATCATTTTTATTCCATTTGATCACTCTCGAACTTTAATTCCACGTCTCATAATGTCTCGGATGCATGACAAAATAAATTACATTAAAAACGAATCTTACTCGGGAAAAACAGATCGAATTGAAAGATAGAACGCTGAAAAACAACTTATTGGGTTCAAATTTGGTGAATCAGACTTCAGATTCGAACTCAAGACGTCGAACAACATAAAGTATGACTTTTAAAAAGTTTTGACTTTTTGGTCAAAGTCAACGGTTAAATTAGTCAAAGTCAACGTGTCTTGTCAACATCATGTCAACAATCACGTCAAAGTCAACAATTTGGGTCAAGGTCAACGAGCCATACCGGTTCGGGTTGACTCAGGTCAGTTTGGTTGACTCGGACTGGTTCGGGCAGGTTCGGTCTGGTTGGACAATTTCTAGAATGTTTCCACGAGCAAAGACGAGCCCTACGCGCACGCGGCGGTGTGTAGCAATAGTGAAGGGTCGGGGTGGTTGTTGACTACTCTACGATTAACTAAGCATCAAATCCAAGCAACATCAACACTCAATTTCAATTAAAACCACCCGAAACAAATGAAAAAGGGTTGAAACGCTTACCCTCGTTGGCGACGAGGAAAACGACGACGACAACTCGACCCACCAGTCCGATTTTGAGCGGATGGAGGTGGGGAGTGCGGAGGTGGCGGCGGTGCAGCCAACCAATAGCTAGAACGGCCAAAATCGAGGAAAAAAAATTTCAACGACACAAGGGTTCTCGGTGAACTCTTCGGCTTAAATCACGGCGATCAACAACTATACGAAGGTTTTGGCCACGGAAGGTTGCCGGTCACATTGGTAGAATCGGGGAACGACAACGATGACCGGAGCGGGGCGAATCGTGGAGGGGTGCGACAATTAAGTTTGGGGAAGAAAGGGTTTAGGATTTAGGGCTTGATGCACAAAGAGGGGTTCTACCTTGAATTTGAGTTATAACCTAATCTAAGCTACAATAAATATATATATTAATAATTTAAGTTACAAACAATGAATTAGGTTAGTTGGTTGGGTGATAGCCATTTACTCCATGGGTTATGGGTTCAAACCCTCCAATCACCCCAAATTTTATTTTTGGTATCAGGTGATTTATGAGTGAATTATAAGACTAGTCCCTAATTTTTTATATTTTCAAAACTAGCCTAAAAGCTTCAGAAATTCACAATTTAATCCATAAATCAATTAATTAATTCTATAAATTTTAAACTGAAAAAATTGGGGGTTTGACATAAAATCTCTCCAAAAATGTCATGAATTCCCCCACTAGGAAAATTACACTCAATATCCCTCTCAAAACATCTCAATTTTAAATTTTTTTTTTCACTAATTAGATCGATTTCTCATTTGATTAAGTTCAATTATACCAACGGAACCTGGTTGGGTGATAGCCATTTACTCCATGGGTTATGGGTTCAAACCCTCCAATCACCCCAAATTTTATTTTTGGTATCAGGTGATTTATGAGTGAATTATAAGACTAGTCCCTAATTTTTTATATTTTCAAAACTAGCCTAAAAGCTTCAGAAATTCACAATTTAATCCATAAATCAATTAATTAATTCTATAAATTTTAAACTGAAAAAATTGGGGGTTTGACATAAAATCTCTCCAAAAATGTCATGAATTCCCCCACTAGGAAAATTACACTCAATATCCCTCTCAAAACATCTCAATTTTAAAATTTTATTTTTTTTATCACTAATTAGATCGATTTCTCATTTGATTAAGTTCAATTATACCAACGGAACCTTCATACGATAATTAATATATTCAACTGAATCTCAGGTTAACACTCGAGCGTTGGCTCGAAAATTTGAGTCGTTACATTCTCTTAATACCTAGCGTGATGGTCTTTAATTGTGATTATGGGTTGAAAACCGATCTAAATATATTTTTTAATTCGAGATCGCTCATGTTGGATATTCCTTCTCCATTGAAGTTATCGTTGCTCAGTCTCATTGTCTTGATAGGAGTCGGGAATGATGACTTAGTTGAAGTAGATATTTGTTACCCCATCGAATTACCTATTTGTCCTTTTCTTTTGTTTTGGTGTTTTTATTAGAGTAAACTAAATAAATAGTTGTTAATATCTAAGTAAATTTCTCTTTTTCCCACTAATGATTCAAAAGTAACAAGTTGGTCATTACATTGTCAGTTTATAACAAATTAATCACTCGTCATTAATAATCATTACTGGGGCTAGCATAATTTTGATATTATACAATAAATCGACTGACTTGACATCGTTTAATCCCTAAAAACCTTAATTAATCCTTCTCAAATTAATTAATCCTTTTCGTTTACACCATTTACAGAGATCTTATTTTTATATATAAGAAATTATTAAGAAAGTAACTCCTGAAGCTAGCACCTGAAGTGTTTGTTTAATTGTTTATGTAGGAAAACTTATTAATATGCGAATTTAATATAATAGGAAAAAAACTCACTGTTCTGAGTTTAAATAGGAATGGCCCAGACACATTAAGGCAGTAAAGGCCCAAAAAGAAAAGAGGGGACATTAGGGTTCAGGATTTCACTGTATATAAAATAAAGTTCACTCCTACAGTACTCCATTTCCCCCGGTGTTTATCTCTTTAGCTTTCTCGCCTCTGAAGAGAAGCCAACGCCGCCATGGTTCACGTCAGTTTCTACCGCAACTGTAAGCTAACCCCATTATTTCTCTTCTTCCCTTTTTCATATGCTTCTTTCTTAACTTAAATATGTAGCTTAATTTTAGTTTGTTTCCTCTCCATGAAAAGTTATCTTTTCCCAGTTTGATTGTTGTTGGTTTCTCATAAACTGGTGTTCTTAACGTGATTTCTAGAATCATAATTGGGAAGCTTTTCTTGTTTAGATTTATGGGTTTTGCTGCTTCTGTTGATTAATGTGATGATGTAGATGGGAAGACGTTTAAGAAGCCAAGGCGTCCATACGAGAAGGAACGTTTGGATGCTGAGTTAAGACTTGTAGGAGAGTATGGGCTCCGGTGTAAGAGGGAATTGTGGAGGGTTCAGTATGCTCTGAGCCGTATTAGAAATGCTGCTAGGGACCTTCTCACTCTTGATGAGAAGAACCCTCGTCGTATTTTTGAAGGTGAAGCACTTCTTCGCAGGATGAACAGGTATGGACTTCTGGATGAGAGCCAGAACAAGCTTGATTATGTATTGGCTTTGACTGTTGAGAACTTCCTTGAACGTCGCCTGCAAACGCTTGTGTTCAAGTCTGGTATGGCTAAGTCGATTCACCATGCTCGTGTGTTGATTAGGCAAAGGCATATCAGGTAAACTTTTACTTTTTTTTGTCGGCGGTTTGATTTCATTTCTTGTTGGTCGACTGAAACCATAAATGTTGTTGATGTTGCATTTAAAAATTAAGACAGAAGTCTTGCTTGTCTGGCTACTATGTTTATGTCTTTGACATTTAGGACCTTCATAGAATATGCATTTATCTTTTTCTGCATGTGGTATATCTTTGAGCTATATATTGATAAGTGTTCTATTGCATCATGATCGTTTCTCGATGTGTGCCGAACTTCTTTTGTTGTGTGTTTATTAATGACGACTGTTTCTTGAAAGTTTGTTTAGGAATTCATATCTGATGAATTTGCCTCGTCGGCAACACACCATTTGGGATAAATGAGATATGTTTTCATGATAGAAAACTTATAGAGCTTGATTTCTTTTGGAAGAATTTACGGGATCGAGAGCCTCTAGTTTTTTGAAAGAAGAGAAAAAAGCCCTTGGCTGTTGCTGATATGCCAATCTAGCTTCTAGTTTGCAAGTAATTTGATTTATTGCATTGTGATATGCATATAAATTGCTAGTTGTTTGATCAGTTTCATATATATGGATTGATCCATGCTTTGGTCGTCCGGAAGATATTATCGATGCCCTGAATGTTGTATCCTGATGTTTGGTCTTTACCTTAATAGGGTTGGGAGGCAGGTGGTTAACATACCATCCTTCATGGTGAGGGTCGACTCCCAAAAACATATTGACTTCTCTCTTACAAGTCCATTTGGAGGTGGCCGCCCTGGAAGAGTGAAGAGAAAGAACCAGAGAGCAGCTGCCAAGAAGGCCGCTGGTGGAGACGGTGATGAAGAGGAAGACGAGTAAACCTTACGCAGCTATCACACCTTTAAATGCCCTTGTTTGGAACTTACAATTTACTCCGTTATTTGACATGGTTTGAGTTCTGTTTCAAGACCTTTACTGTAGTGGATGATGTCTCGGATTTGATGTTAATTGAGCTATTTATTTGTTTTGAGGTTACAATATTTATATTATCACCATTTTGATCAATCACCTTATAAGTGCTCAATCATGCATGCTAAGTAAGACTTGATTTGTTTATAGAAGAAAATGAATATTTGGTTATGACTTGGCAAGTAATTAGAACCCAAATGGGCAACGGTTATTGAATATTTGATTTCAGTCAACCACGCCTCGCCAAACTCCCCGTTTTGATCTCTTTTCCCCTTCTCTATATAAATTTCTCCCCGCCAATTTGGATAGCAACGACACTCACAACTCAGTGGAGGTGGAGAGCGGAGAATCGTCAGCGGAGGAGGCGGAGTTGGAGTCTCCCATATCAGTGGTGCTGCAGATGAAGAAGAAAGTAGATAGACTAGTACTTCACAGTCAAGTTTTGAGAATAAGAGAGGAGGATTCGCATCTTGGAGAAGATTTCTTTGCCACCGCCGATAACAACCAGCTTGTCTTCGGAGGTGATGCAGTTCGTGGAGTTTTAAGCGAACACAACGAGGGACGACGTCGTGTCAACGTGGTTCTTGTTTCTAAGCCGATCTTGCCTTCCTCGCCTCTTAGCGGCAAGAACCGCGTTAAAAAAAGGCCATGCAATGAAGCAAACCTAAATCGATCACCTCGATTGATCAATCAACCAAATGTTATATTTCATTTCATAAAGTTTTTTTTTCCTTTCTTTTGACGCTCTTTTTCTCTTCCTTTGATCTCTTTGGTTGCTGAGAAAAAAACGTTTCTTTCTGAATTCATACGGAGTTCCTTTTTCTTATTCTTTTAATTGTAAATGACGGGCAGCAGGAAAGCTTGAAGATCATTTTAATGATGGAGTATTTTAGATTTTAGTTTTTGATTTCTTTATTGGGATTTTCACAAGTCTTTCTTTTACTTTGAATAAAGATCATGATATTTACAACATAATTAGAAACGAGCGCAAAATTTTATATTATAGGATGAACTTGCACAATTTTAGAGGGGGATAAACTTATAAAATCTAGTGGGATGAAAATTAATTTCTAATTAAAAATATATAAAAAAAATCTAAAATATATAATAATTTTAAATTTTTAGGGAGGACGACTGTCTCTACCTACCCGTCAGTCTATCCCCGAGAATAATGTCCAATGTACAACGGAGTTATTCTTCATATTTAAGATAGTGTAGTAAATTCCTTTTATTTATTTTTTTCATATAAAAAATTTCTAATTTTCTTTGTGTCGTAATAAAATAACCTAATCCATCTAAGGGATAGCAGTTGTGATTAAACTGGATAAAGATTTATCTAAATTATGAGTATAGTTTTATGTTTTACTATTATAACTAATTTAAAAAATCTACAAGTTTATGTCAATTTGTAGGATTATTCATTGAAAAATATAATTTTATAGATGATGTTTATGAAACTATTTTATTTATAATAACCAGAATAACCATGTTTGTTTTTACTTTCTAAACTAATTGTTATTTTTTGGTTAATTACTTGTTCAGTACATGGACTATACTTAATTTATCAATGTTGTACAAATTATTATTTTTTGGTTAATTACTTACTTGTTCA